CCCCTCCGGAGGAGGCAGGCGGCCCTTAGCTGCCCCTTGGCGCCCACCCTGGGCGGTTGTTAGCCCCCTCTGGGAGCAGCAGGGCCTCCGCACCGGCTGCCACCAGCCCGCCGGGCTCCACCTACCTGCCGCGGGGCTGTCAGGGTCCCATCCACGTCGAAGAGGCAGAGCGCTGGGCCGGACGCCGCCATGACGCCGCTTTCTACCCGCACCTGGCAAGACTTGTTGGCACCGGGCAAGACTCGTTGGCACCTGGAAACTCGACCCGGAACTTCCGGGGTCGGCCCCTACACCGCAGGGCACGTCGGGAGGAGGAGTAGCCACTCCCACAATGCCTGGGACCAGCGCCAGCCACAGTCGCCAGATCACAACTCCCAGACAGCAACGCGTATTACGTGCTCCCCGTACACCGGAGCGTGCGCGCTTGGAGCTTCCGGGGCAGATGGGATTTACTTCCGGCAGCGGATGGCGGGGCCATGGTAAGAAAGCAGGTGGTGGGCCTGGAGGGAGTGACACGTTTTGGAGGTCGGGATCGGGTTTGGGGCTGGGGCAGGCAGGCAGGACGCATGGGTTTCTGACTTGGAGAGTCCGCGGGAGGACGCTCCGGTGTGGGTTAAAATTTTCTATTCCCCGTCTTTCTCTGCCCTCGGGTAACGTGGGCTGACAATAGTGGTCGCTCAGACTCGCTGTGCGCTCACCGTGCATCAAGTACGAAGTTGAGGGCTTTAAAACCATCGTCTCGTTCAGTATCTTCCGAGTCCCCGTTTTGAAAGGCGAGGAAACGGAGGCTCAGAGAGATGGGGTAAGTTGCCCAAGGGTCCACAGCTAGTGACTGCTGGAGCCAGGATTGGAAGCGATGTCTAATTCCAAAGCCTTTCAGAGCTTTTTCTGCTGCACTCCTCACCTAATAAAATCCCTGTGCTGCGAGTCGGGGCCTCCCTGACTAACTCCTCTTCCTCTCCTGTTCCTCCTTCCCCAAACTAGGGTAAGAGAAAACAGTTACCTCCAGCACCCAAGATAATGCATAAACCAGGCAGAAAATTGGAGAGTTATTGTGATAAATACTTCACGGATTTGTTGCTCGAATTCCCCACTAGGACATTGATTATTTTGTTTTTTGCTTGGAGCAATGTTCACACAGTCTTGTCGATCCAATGTCCAGCCCACAGTTGGTCCTCCTTAGGTATTTGTTGAGTAAAGACTTGCACTTCTTTTCATATAGTTACTTGGAACTGCCTAGAGGAAAGAGGACCAGTTTGAAAATCAGACTCTGCTACACTCACTGGCTGTGTGTCCTTGGGTAAATTTCTTACCCTTCCTGGGCTTAGTTTCCTTAGTGGTAAAGTGGAAATGATACCTGTCTTGAATAGCTTTTGTATGCTCACGTGAGATAAAGCATCTGGCTCTACCTTTCCTTCCTCTGGCTATAATGGTGATCTCTAAGGACTGGAAGAACCTCTGTGTGCAATGCTTTGTCGATGTTCATTGTGTGATTGGCGTGGTTGAGTTCCATGAGAAATGGTCTCCTGTTTTTCTTTCAGGCTGCCCTCCTCCGAGCTGTGCTGAGGTTGCGGGGGCAAGGGCCAGCTGCATGGGGAAGGCCTCTTCATGGGCTGTGGTGCTGCAGTGGGCAGGAGCATCACAAGAGGTGGGTGGGGAGCAGGTCACCCACCTCGAAGGAGAAACCACCAGGCACAGAGACTGAGAAATTCCAAATGGTCTATCGTTTTGGTGCCATAAGGTCCTTTGGGTATGTGTCTCGGCTAAAGGTGGCACAGACTGCCCTGACAGTGGTGGCCTTGCCGCCAGGCTTCTACTGCTACTCCCAGGGTGTCTTGACTTTCAACTCCCTGTGCCTCATGAGTGGGATAGCCGGCTTTGCCCTGGCCATGCTGTGTTGGATGAGCTATTTCTTCCAGAGACTGGTGGGCATCCTGTATGTGAACGAGTCTGGCACTGTGCTACGGGTGGCTCACCTGACCTTCTGGGGCTGGCGGCAGGATACATATTGTCCCGTGGCGGATGTGATGCCCCTGACGGAAACCAAGGACCTGCCCCAGGAACTGTTCGTGCGTATCAAACAGTACAGTGGGAAGAAGACCTTCTACCTCACCCTGCGCTATGGACGGATCCTGGACAGAGAGCGTTTCACACAGGTGTTTGGGATGCTGGACAGGTGCAGATGAACAACTGGCAGCTGGGCCTCTGGGTGGATCTGGGCTACTGGATCTCTTACAGGAAGGCCAAGGGTGTGGGCAAGGCTGAAGAAGGGGATTGAGTTCCCGGAGAGTTTGCCCCTAGGAACTTGTCTTTAGGCACGAAGCAACTCATGAGGCAGAAGCTGGTAACCAGGTTTAGGGAAAAGACTCTTCATGCAAATTCTTAACTGCACTTGTGTATGACAGATAACGCTGGAAGTTTCTGTTAAGAGCCAGTTCTTGGAGGAAGTTGTGCCAAGGTCACCCAGACTGTCTGCTGCTGGGAAATCGGAAGACAGAACTGTGGGAGGGGAGCATGGGATTTGGAGTTAGAGGCTTGGGTTCTGTCAGTGATCAGCTCCCTGTCCCGGGGCAGGTTATTGAGTCTCACTGAACCTTGGTTTTCACATCTGTAAAACGGAAAGTCCTGCCTATCTCATGGGATGGGTGTGAGAATAAACAATAAATGTCAAGTGTTTTGCAGGCTCAGCAGCCCAGAGCAAGTTTGAAGCATTTGGTCAGAGGCTATGGTATGGTAAAAGGTTTCCAGGCAGTCCATAGGGATTTCCAGAGCCCTGTGCTGTGCCCCCTCCTATACCCAGCTGCAGAAGGGACGGGGATGAAGCCGAGAGTGGGGGCCATTTCATCCCACCGGGATGGTAACTGCACGCAGACACAGGCAGGAATGTTATCCAAGTGAGCACGACACCCAGCTGAGATTTTGTTCACCACCCAGAGTCTAGGGGCTCTCAGTTTGGAAGGCTTTGCAGTGTAGTCAAGCCAGATCAGGAGGCTGAGGCCTGAAGATCGCTTGAGTTCAGGAGTTCCAGCCTGGGTGGCAGAGCAAGACTTTGTCTTTAAAAATAAATAATTAAAGCCAGATGGACTGTATGCTGGTGCGTTATTTTATAAATTAAAGCCAGTTGTGTGCGGTGCCCCCTATAATTAATAATGCATGTTAATTATACGATTTCTAAAATTGAAGAAGAAGGAAGGTTTGATCTTTATTATTTTGCCACTCAAAAGTCAATAACTAAATGTTTTATTGTGTAGCCTTCCAGTTTTTTTTTAATTGTAGTAAAATATATGTAAGTTTATCCTTTTAACCACTTTTAAGTGTACAATTCAGGGCCATTAAATATATTTATAATGTTGTGCTACCGTCACCACTATCTATTTCCAGAACTTTTTCATCATCCCAAACAGAACCTGTGTACCCACTAAACAGTAATTGACCCCCTCCCCCTAGCCCCCGGCAACCACTGATTTACTTTCTGTCTCTTTGGATTTACCTATTCTGGATATTTCATATAAACAGGATCATACAATGTGTCTCCTTTTGTCTTGGCTTCTTTCACGTGGCATGATGTTTTCAAGGTGCATCCATGTTACAGCATGTCTCAGTGCTTCATTGCTCTTTTATGGTTGAATCATACGGGGTTTATGTACCACATTTTGTTATCCATTCACCTGTTGATGGACATTTGGGTCGATTCCATCTTTTGGCTATTGGCTATTACTGTAAACATTGGTGTACAAGTTTCTGTTTGAGTCTCTGCTTTCAGTTCTTTTGGCTACATAACGGAGCGGTGGAATTACTGGATCCTCTGGTAATTCTGTGCTTAACTTTTGGAGGACCTGCCACTTTTCCACAGTGGCTGCAGCATTTTACCTTCCCACCAGCAATGTACAAGGGTGCCAGTTTCTCTACATCCTTGCCAATGGCAGTTACTTCCCATTGTTTTGGTAATGGCCATCCTAACGGGTGTGAAGTGGTATCTCACTGCGCTTTCAGGCTTTTCATAGAAATTATACTGTTCCTGGGATTGTTTGGGTTTTTGCTTCATGTTGTAACACCAAGCTGCCTCATATCCTGAATATTAAGAATATTCTGGAATTGCAAAATATTCCACTGAGTGGATGTAGCTGGTGCTTTTAACCTGTACTATTTAGGTTATTTCCATTTTTTCATTATTATAAAGAATGTGATAAATATCAAATATATATTGTGATATCCTTCTTCCGTGGAGACTAAAATGGCCTTTTGAGAAAAGTGACTTATAATCAAGGTAACACGAAGTTAGATTTTCTTGGTTAATGTATTTCATTTCTGAGAAGCAGGTAAGGCTTGTATTAATAATTCAAGACAGTCTGCAGGCTTCCGAATCAGTCATTCATTCATGCCACCCAACACTCTTGAGTATCTGCCTTGTGCCAGACACTGCTTGGTTAATTACAGAGGTTAATAGGAGGATTTTTGCCTTTGTGGAGCTTTCAGTGGAGGTCTTGGCGGGGGCCACAGGGAGGAAGAACAGACGTTAAAGAAGTAAATGCATGTAGTTACAGACGGTGACCAGTGTAATGAAGGAGGAAGAGGATTTGGGGCTGGATGTTGGGAGAGGCATGGAAGGCCCTGGGCGGAGACATTTAAGCAGAGACCTGAGGTGCAAGTGGGAGGTGGCCTCGAGCTTGTTTCAGGTGCAGGGAACAGCACACGTGTGCTTCTGTGCTGCACAAGAGCTTGGCGCATTTGCTAAGAAGAACCTGAATTTTATCCTAATCACTGTGGGAAGCCTTTGAAAGTAAGAGAAAGGAAAGAGAACAGTGAAAGTAAGTTTGGGAGTTTTTAAGAATGAGAAGAAACAGCTCCTTTTAATTTTTATTTTTCAGTTGAAGATATAAATGAAAGGGCATAGGCTTATAGATATGTTTCATTGGTTGAATTCTCACTGCACGTTAATTCCTGCCAGCCGGAGAGAGTGGTCTGGGGAGTGAGTGTGACAGGGCCCCTCAGGTGCTTGGAGGCACTGGGCGTCCACTGTCCGTGGGGGTACATTTGTGGTTTTCCCAGCCCGAGGGGCTGTGTGTGCAGGAGCAGCTCTTGGCCGGCGTTGATTGAGTGGGTGTTGCCCAGAGCCTGGGGGTGGGCCTCAAACCCATTCCCAAGTGCTGGCTCTTTCTCCAGGCTGAATGACATGTGTTATGGTTTTATGATGGCCCTACTTTAAAAATATGACCAGAACCTGACCACTTCTCACCCCCTCCACCCCAACCATCAGATCCAAGCTGCCCCTGTATCTCCCCTGGGTTATTGCAGTCCAGGGCTTCTGTCTTGGACTTACTAGGGTCCGTTTTTACAGCAGCCAAAGTGATCCTTGGGAAAAAAAAATGTATTATGTCAACTCTGTTATAAAAGCTGATCTTGTGATGGCCTCCCCTACCCTCACCTATCCTCCTTCGTCTGCCACTCTGCTGTACATCACTCCCCTAGGTCAAGTTCACCTTGTTTTCCCTTCAGTATCAAGGACACTCCAGCCTCAGGGCCTTTGCATTGGCAGTCCCTCTGCCTGGAAGGTTTTCTCCCTAGATGTCTGCATAGAGGACTGACTGACCACCCTGCTTCAGTTTCTTCTCTGTATAACAGGGGTATTACTGTTCATGCTGAAGAAGTTGTAGTGAAGATTCAATTATGTACAGCAGCAATTGTGTAGCTATTACACAAGGCTGAGCGCAGTGGCTTACACCTGTAACCCCAGCACTTTGGGAGGCCAAAGAAGGAGGATTGCTTGAGGCCAGGAACTGAAGACCAGCCTAGGTAATATAGTGAGATCCTGTCTTTACCAAAAAAAAAAAAAAAAGTAGTAATGATTTGACCTTAACCTCATTAAAACCAAAAATTTGCGCAAATAGCCCCCTGTATTGGGCTAGTTCTAAGCAATGACCTCAAAGAGCCCCACCCCTGGAGATTCTGATTGAGTATGTCTGGGGTAGGTTCCCAGAATCTGTCTTTTTGACAGGCTCAAAGCCAATTCTGAGATACGAGTAGGTTAGGAGTTTCTGAAACAGGCTATAGGAGACACCAGAGTGATGCGTGCTTCTGTGAACTTTGTGTTCCTGGGCCAATTTTCTGCCTAAGGAATAGGTTCCTGGCTCCACGTGTAGAATCACCTGGAGGGCATTTGAAAAATCCATTGCTCAGGCCCATGACCAGGCATTGCTATTTTCAGGGCTCCCCAGGTGATCTAATGTCAGCTAGGACTGACCATGGATACCCTGAAGTATCACCACACAGTTAAGCCTGCAAGGGGCTTGACCCCAGGGCAGAGCCCAGGTTCTCACCAGTGTAGGCAGGAGCTTCGAGGTCTGCTCACACAGTACCAGCAGAGGGCATACAGAACAAAGGCTGTTCCATCCCTTTATTCCCGAGCTAAAATCACGGATCTCCAACAGACAACAGGAACTGGGTTAGGGCTTCTACAGGGCACCAGTAGGGCAGTACTTGGGAGTTGTTAAAAAAACCTAAATCAACAACAAAAGCAAAAGTCACTTGTGGGACCTGTGCATCTGTATTTTAATGCTCCCAAGGTAATTCCAAGGCACTCACATTTGACAATCACTCAAAGCCATGCAATAGATGGCACAGCAGCTCAGAAAACGAAAGTGGTCTTTAGATTTGGGTGGTAGATATATTGGCAACTCTCCCCTTTAACGATGTTCCAAGATAATAATTGTCTTAGTTCATTCAGGCTGCTGCAACAAAAATACCATAGACTGGCGGCTCAAACAACAGACATTGGTTTGTCGCAGTTCTGAAGCCTGGCAAGTCCAAGACCAAGGTGCTGGCAGATTTGGTGTTTGGTCAGAGCCCGTTTCCTGGTTCAGAGACAACCACTTTCTTGCTGTGCTCTCACATGGCAGAAGGGGTGAGGGAGCCATCTGGGGTCTCTTATAAGGGCACTCAACCCACTCGTGAGGGCTCCACCCTCCAGACCAAAGGTCCCAAAGGTCCCACCACCAAATACCAATCACACTGGGGATTAAGTTTCAATATATGAATTTGGCAGGTAGATATAAATATTCAGTCTGTAGTAAAAATCTAATAGAAATACTCAAACCGACAGATGAGGATGTTCACTGAAATATTTCTAATAGCAAAAACACTGGAAATAAGCTAAGTTTCCATTAGTAAGCAACACAGTTAAATAAATGTTGATAGATCCATACTGTGGAATATGTGCGGCCCTTAAAAAAGAGTAAGATTGAAATATATCTGCTCATGTGGAAAGATGGCCACGGGGCAGTCAGTGGAAAAAGCAAATCATAGAACAACGTGGTTCCGTGTGATCTTGTATGTTTTTTAAAAAATGCACACATTGCAAATTGCTAACCATGGCTATCCCTGGGGAGAGCATTGGGGTGGGAGGGGTAGACGAGATGGACTAAGTCTTCCACTTGCAACTTTATAACCTAGTATTGTTAAAAATTTTCATCATGAGCTTGTTCATCTTAACAAATGAAGAAAAATGCTGTAATAATGGTCTCCTCATCCATCCCTTTCTCCTCCTGCCAGCTTTCTAGGCAAGGGGGAAAGTTTCTCAACCGTGGACTCTGATTCTGAACTGAGAAGCCGAGTAGGTAGGAGGAAACAGGTAGTTGTTGAAAAGCATCTGCGGACTGACATGGTGGTTCATGCCTGTAATCCCAGCACTTTGGGAAGCCAAGGTGGAAGGATCACTCGAGGCCAGGAGTTTGAGACCAGCCTAGGCAACATAGCAAGACCCTTCTCTACAAAAAAAATTTGTTTTAAATTAGTCAGGCATGGTGGCGCACACCTATAGTCCCAGCTACTTGGGAGGCTGAGGCAGGAGGATTGCTTGAGCCCAGGAGTTTGAGACCAGCTGGGCAACATAGCAAGACCCCGTCTCTGTAATAAAACAAAAAAAGAAAGAAAAGCATCCGCGATACAACCATGTTTGTCTCTTGCAGCATGGCTTCCCTTCCTGTCTGCTGAGAACTGTGTGGACTTGCCCCCCACACCCAGGCATGCGGGGCTGTGTATAATTTAGATGTAGGGGACAGGGTGGTCTGTAGCACGTCAGCTTTCCTGTGACGGTCACCCAAATGTGATGAGGTCTGCTCTACGTGGCGATGGTGCCCCAGGTGTGCACAGCTGTGGCACATGGAAAGCACAGCCCCATGGTAGCTGTTGTCCTTTCTACACTGGTCACCAAAAATGAGACTTACCTTGTCACAGGGCCAGAAATCTATTGCATCCCCCACCCCATCATTAAATTATCATGTTTAATGCACCCCCCAGAGCAAGATCTGGTGGGCTTAGCTGCTTGCAAGGGACAGCCTGGGATGAATTGCCCAGATAACTAGGGCTGGAAGCTTTCCTTTTGTTGCTGCTTTAGGACTTCAGGACTCAAGAGTTTCTAAATGGAAAGCAACAGGGTCCCTTTGAACACGAGGCAGAGTCCAACTTTTATGGCCTTGTTTTGATCCTGCAGCATTCAATTGTAAAATCTTGCCTGATTAGGGTTAATCAGGTGGGGCTGATGCCATCTGGCCATGTTTGTACCAACTCTAGGGACAAAATATTCATTTTACTAATTAACAGTTGAAATATACTCCCAGATTCTAGTTGGGCTTGTACCTGTACTGGAAAGTAGATCTAATATTTACAAGTCAGAGCTTAACTGTGACAAATGTAATATTGTCATTTAGAACCATATGTGAGACACACTCATTCATGGAGAACAAGTGGCAAAAGAAACTCCTATATATTAACTGTGTACTACGTGCCTGGCAATTACTACATGATTTTATTTAATCCTGCCAGCAACACTTCGAGTTAGAGAACCCCAGAGAGGCAGAGGAGTGTCATGGTGAAGCACGTGGCTTCTGAGGCAAGACTTCTTGCCTGCTTGAAATCCCAGCCCTGCAACTTCCCAGCCGTGACTTCGGGTTAATTTTGTAACCTCTCTCTGCCTTGGTTTCTTCATCTGTGCAGTGAAGATAATAGTGCTACCTTCCCAGGGTTGTTGGGAGGATTAAATGACTTTACTGCCTGAAAAGCACTCAAAATACTGCTTGGTCCAGGCAAGCACTCAACGTTAGCTAGCGTTACTATAATCATCTTCATTTTGCAGAATGAGGCTCAGAGAGATGAAGTGACTTGCCCAAGGTCACCCAGCTAGTAACCAGCAGAGCTGGGTCATTCCACTTCCTCCTTAGAGGGGAAGGACAGAATATATAAAACAGTGACTCTTTTTTTTTTTTTTTTTTTTTGGTGACAGAGTCTCTCTGTGTTGCCCAGGCTAGAGTGCCGTGGCATCATCCTAGCTCTCAGCAACCTCAAACTCCTGGGCTCAAGCGATCCTTCTGCCTCGGCCTCCCGAGTAGCTGAGACTACAGGCATGTGCCACCATGCCCGGCTAATTTTTTTTTTCTATATATTTTTAGTTGTTCGATTAATTTCTTTCTATTTTTAGTAGAGACAGGGTCTCGCTCTTGCTCAGGCTGGTCTCCAACTCCTGAGCTCAAACAATCCACCCGCTTCGGCCTCTCAGAGTGCTAGGATTACAGGCATGAGCCACCACACCCGGCCAAAACAGTGACTCTTTAACAAAGACTTATTGACCTTGAAGTTCTAGCACCTTCAGCCCATCTGACTTTGGAATGTGCATTTGGGAACTCACATGTAGGCTGGCAAGTTCAAGGTAACCTTCCAAGGCCAGAGGCCAGGCTGGTCAGGAGAAAATTCAAGCCAGTCCTGAGCTGACTGCAGGCACGAGTGCTGACACACACATCTGTCCACCCAATGATATGTCATGTTTCATGCATCTTTGTGTATCAAGTCCCCGCTTCCAGGCTGTGTGATTTTGAGCAGGTTCCCTAACCTCTCTACACTGCAGTTTCCTCATCTTAAAAATAGGCGTACAAATACAGAGAGCCCCCACTTCAATGTTGATAGGTTCTCGGAAACTGCAACTTTAAGCAAAATGACGTAGGGCAGGTCCTTGAACATCATTTCATTCAGCGTCATCTTATTATAACATTGATGAGGAAAAAAATTGGTTTCATTTTATATCATTTTAATTAAAGCCAGTTTCCAAGAACCTATGGACAAGTGAGGACCTACTGTACGCACCTCATAGGTTTGTCATGAAAATCTTAAAGCACCAACAGAACTACTCAACAAATGGTAATTGTGGTCACTATTTATATGTGATGATTTAAAAAATGCATTTATTGGTAAGTATTGCCTCCAAGTCCATTGTCGTTTCGTGGGCTTGTTGGATGGTGGAGCTGGAAGGAGCCTTGGAAAATAGGGTCCAAACCGTGTGTTTTCCAGGTGAGGAAAGGGCCCTAGAGGGCCGCCGAGGCAGCTGGGAGCAGCCGTGAGACAGGGCCCCGTGGTTCTGGTTCCAGGTCAGGTCACCAGGAGGACCGAGGAGGCAGCTCATCCCCGTGGGTACTCACTGAGCACCTCTCTCAGCCTTCCCCATTGCTTCTGCCTCCCAGTTTATTCCAGTTGGTCGTCAAACGCACCACCTCAACCAGCGAGTCAGAGGACCTGGTTTAACGGTTTGGGCTGGGGTCCGAGCGCTAGGATTTTCAAAGAGCTCTTTGGGGTGACCCCTAGGTGCACCTAGTGCTGAGACCCACAGTCCTGCATGTTTTGGATTCTAGGATTTTCTCTCCCTCTATCCCCATTGTCATTGCCCTCGTCCAGGCCACCAGGCCACCGTGACTGCACTAGCTTCCTAACTGGCCCCCCTGCCTTCCTGATCTTCGCAGTGAACGCTCAGGACAATCTTCCGCCCGCCAAGCGGCACAGAAGGCCCTGGGGGCCCCGAGCCCTGCCTGTGTCTCTAGCCTCACCGCCAGGCACTCTGGTCTCCCTTTTTTGTGTTCTAGTAATGCTGAACTTCTCGGAGACGCCCACCCTGCCTTTGTGCCTGCATTCTCTTGTTCTGGAATGCCCTCCATCCCACCGGAGCAGTTCCTGCTCAGCCTTGAAGATGCAGCTTAGGGGCCTAACTTAACCTCGAAGGGCTCAGGACCTGGCCATTGTACGTCCCGTCCTGGTCCTTATGCTGGGCTGTGACCTTAACCTCACTAGAATGTGAGCCGAGGGTTAGGACCACGCCTTGCCCATCCCCATGTCCCCGTCACGTGGTGTGTGCTTCACGAACTCAGTGAAATGAACGGCCTCATTGTGCTTCCATAGGCAGATTTACACAGATAGAGTGTTCCCCCAAGACATCTCTAAGAGGCATATGAGAAGTACTTAATAAGTAGTGGCAAAAATTTATCAAAACCATTTCGAACATCAAAAAGTCCACATTCACTCTGATGTTTCCATTATAAATTCTTTTAAATTTAAGAATACCGATTAACACAGGAAACAGATTTAATTCATGGAATTGTGCATATGGTCAGTTACACTGTGACATGTTCATTTCTTTATCATTGATTGGCACTATCAACAGAATACTGTAAACCAGATCACTTTGTATGCATAAGTCTGTGATGCTCCCTAGCTATGGTTTTCTACCATGAGCTGACATATACATATGTAGATAGGTATAGATATAGAGACATATTAATGCTGTGCACAATTTTGCATGGTCACTGAGTGTCAGTAAAAATTATAAAAAAACACCCATTTATAATAAAAGTAAGGATGCGATAAGACTTGCTATCATTGGACCTTGTGTTCTGTAAAGGAGACAAGACTTGCTAGACATTTACTAAACTCCATGGCACTGATTACGATGGATTCATTTCCAGACCATTGGCCACAGAAGTACGTCTTCCTGGGCCCTGCCCTAGAGAGCAGCCTGTCCGCTGGGCTCCCCATGTTTTCACCAACTTCTGAGTCTCCACAACCTTGAGCTCTGCTGAGAATTCTTTTCCTTGAAATTCTTCCGGCTAAACTCCCACCCCGCAAAAGAGGACGTCTCAGGAACTCATTATGCCCTGAATCAACAAGAACTTGGTAAATGGCTTAAAAATTTCTAACAGGAACTAACTTCCCTTGGTAAGCAGTGAATAATAAATCTGGAAATGACTTTCCAGATAAAATGATCTCATCCCTCTGTCAGTGCCCCATGGGGAGAGAACAAAATAGTGGAGCCACTCTCGCCACTGAAGGAGCCAACTTTCTGGTTATGCCCCGCCTTAAAACCCTTTGGGCTCCAAGAACCTTATTAATATTTGCACCCAATGCCAAAGTTCTCAGGAGAAAGCATACTTAAGTCAATGAATGAATGATGGTTTGGTTTGCATCTGGCATGTTTGTTAAATAAGGCCTTGAACCTTGGGGTGTTGTCTGTGGAATGTGGCTCCCCAGCAAAAGCTGTGAGACCATGAACCGACTGACGTGCCTTTGCACATGCCATTCCCTTTCCGCAACACTCTTCTTTGCCTTGTCAGCTTGGCGAACTCTTCCTCGTTCTGCAAAACCCTGCTCAAACGTCACTTTCTCAGAAACCTCTCACCCTCAAGTGGCTTGCAGGACTCCCTCTGCTTTCCTGATGCGCTTACACCTGTTATACCACTTGCCACTCTGTTAGCTAAGAGTCTGTTTCCAATGGCATATGAGCTCCTGAGGGCAGGGACTGTGTTTTATCTCATCTCTGTATTCCTAGTGCTTAGCACAGGGCCTGGGATGGTGCAGGTATTGAATGAAAGTTTGATGAATGACTGAATGTTGAACAAATGAATATACAAACGAGTGAAACCTTGCAGAGAGAGGGAGTCACACATCTCTACTTAGTTGGCAACATAAATGACCTTAAACATGGCACAACTTATTAAGAGCAACAGATTAGCGCTCACTGCAGGAACGTAAAGTGAACTGGGATGCGTGGATCTGTCCATGTCTGTTAAACATGCCGGTGTCTTTCGTTCTTCAACAAAAATAGGCGGGTGACCAAGTCTGCTGAAGAGTGAAAGCTAAAGAAAAAAAACCCACTTTGAGATCTTTGGATGATTCGTCATGAAAAGAGCAAAGCAAAGCAAAATGCTGAATCAGAACCTTGTTGTGCTTATCTTCCAAAATGGCCAACCAAGCCACCCGGGGATGAAGTGGCTTCCTTTGGGACAGAGAACTTTCCCAGTCTACCCACTAGATAATACTTCCTGGCTCTGAGACTATCAAGTGCTCCTTTTAGGGGCATTTGAGGTCGAATCACTTCCACCAGTGTCTCGCCTCCAGCAGAGAAACTCGCCTCAGCCACAGCCCCAGCTAAGCATGTAAGTACCATCTGCTGGGTAATCTCCACACTCAGTCATGTCGGGAAAAGCTGATTTCAGGAGGACAGGTACAAGGAAACTGCCTTAAACCGACGTGCCCCATGCACAGAGCTCTGGCGCCTTTCATTCATGGCGCTTCCCTCAAGACAAGAAGAAATCGGTCCAGCAGTGAGCCCCCCCATGGAACAGCCAAGCCTCTCATGCGTGTGCTCAGTGGTGGAGGGAATGTGGGTGAGCAGGAGCCTCCCGGGACAAGGGGTCCACAAGCCGGGCCCCCAAATGCCCGGGGAGACAGGGTGCGTGGCTCTGCTACCCCGGCCCCTGGGCTTGCGCTCCTGGGGCGACAGGCGTGTGCTTCTGACCTTTCACGCACGCCTGTCCCTGTGGACTCTCAGGCTGCCGTTTACCAGGGAGGACAGAGTTCGGGGCATGGAGGCTGTCGAATGCCAGCCGACAGTGATGCCACCTGGGGATCCTCCAAGGGCAAAGCCCCACGAAGGACAGAACTCACAGTTCGGAGGACCCCCCCAGGCGCACGGAGAGGAGTGGTCCTAGTCTTCAGGAGGCCAGGAGACCCCTTCCCCCACCTGAGCTCGGTCCACACGTCCCCACTTTTCTGCCTTCCCAGGACCTGTCCCGTCCCTGACTGAAGCGTGCTGGGGGCGTGCTCAGAGCTGCAGGGGCTGGCTGAGAAGCTGAGGGCCTGTTTGCTGCATAGGGCAGGGGCAGCCGGCGTCCTGATTACACAATACGGCACTTGAGATGGACTGGAACCCCTAAGTCCCAGCCACCAGTCCCAGGGGCGGGTGTAAGTCCCTTGACTGGCTTCCAAAACCATTACTGGGTTGGTCAAGGCTGGGCAGAAATATGGCCACGGTCCCAGCGGCCCTTCCCAAGACTACGTCCAGGGCTCTAGCAGAATTTCTGGGCTTAAACCAATGTGCAGCCTTGGCTCTGCAGGGAGGAAAATCAAAACCAGCCCTCCCCTCTTCTCTCCCCCTCCCCCAAACCACCAAACACGTTCCTTCCTCACAAAAAACCCTTCAGTTTATGCATTCGCCGCTAATACTTTTAAGTGAAAACATGAATTAGGCAAACTAATCAATTTGACGACTGTTGAGATCGGGGCTTCCTCAGAGTGTAGTGGAATGGCTTCTTTACTTGAAGTCTGCTAAGATGTCGCTGAAAATATTGAGGAACAGGTGAGCGTGGTGGTCCCTGAAGACCAGTGTGGGACGGAAACGAATGGATTTGTCGCCGCAGCCCCCCAACACCACACCTGGAAGAAGAGGCAGGAGGAGGTTAGGAGCTTGGGCTCTCGGGGCCACCTGCTGCGCGGGCCGGAAGGGAAGTGACCCCCACTGTACACGCGTCTGTCCATACGCCACTCTTCCCACCCGGCTGCCGCCCGTCCTTTCCCTCCACCCGTCCGGCCTTCGTTTCCTCCTGTCTCCCTTCATCTCGTCCGTCCTTCTCTTCTTTCCCTCTCTCCCTCCCTCCTAGGTTTGATTGCTCTGCTGCCCCTGAACCACGTTTGGTGTCAGAGAAATCCTGAGAGGAGTCCTCCCCTTCCAGAAACTCATGGAGGGGCGGGCAAAGAAAATGGGAAACAAGTCACAAAAGCGCAGGCTAAGACAGAAGCACGCAGGAGGTGCTGTCATCACTGCAGAGGGGCAGACCCTGCTCGTTTTAAAGGGTGACTTCCCCATGCACCGCCAGGCATCCTGGTCTAGGGTGTTTGGATCTTCGAGACTAAGTTTTCTCATTTCAAACAGGAGGCTAACCAACCCTGCCCGTGCAGGGCCACCACGAGGATTCTGTGAGATGGTACGAGACAAAGACCTGACCTGGGGCCTGACACACAGTAGGTCCTCCGATCTCACAGCAGTGTCCCTCCCACCTACGACTCCCCAGTGGCCTCCCATGCCTCCTAGGATGAGTCTGGAGTAGGGAACCTGATCCGCAGCCCGACAGGATGTGGGCCAGGCCTCCCCTCCCCCAGCTCCTCCCCTCCCGTCTGTCTGTCCCTCCACCCTCCATCCTCTCGCTTTCTGCACCTCCACAAGCTCCATCCTGCCCTGGAGAAGTACACGAGTCCTTCCCTCTGCCCAGAATGCTCCTCTCACCTTCTTCACCTGGCCAACCTCTGTTCAGCCATCAAGTCCTAAGGTAAAATGCCACTTCCTTGAGGAAGCCTTCCCTGATTTCCTGGCCTCAACACTCTCCCCAGCTTTGCTCTCTGTCTCCTTTCCTCCTTCCTGGGACTTAAAATTATGGTGGATTGTGGGTGGAATGCTGAGTTGGATGTCCCCCCTTCCTGCTAGACTGCAGGCTTCCTGGAGGAGGGGGCCCAAAGGTCTTCTTCTGCACAGTGACTCTCTCAGTGTACTCACAACTCAGCTCAGTGAATACTTGTTGAATCCATAAGTGGATAAAGAAATCCCACTGGTAATTTTCTCTGCTTTCGAGAAAGAGCATTCAGGCTACTTTTAGTCCCACGTCTCCCCTGCCCCCCACCCAAGGACCCGGCAGTATTTTGCACGCACAGCAGGTAATGCCGGACACCGATGCCCCTCGCCACCCACTCCCGGCCCCGTACCTTTGTTTCTGGCAATCAAGATGAGCTTATTCCGCACCGAGTCGTCCGGAGTGTCGAAAGAGCAAAAGGTGCCTCGGCCTCTCACTCTGCTGATGAGCTGCGGGTACCGGGCCTGCACGGGGGAGACAAGGCTGGTGTCAAAGGCTGTCACCTGCGTACCAGCTCGGCTTAATGGCTGTGCCTCCTCAAGCGCCACCCATGGGCCATGGGCCAGCCGCTGGGCTTCTGCATGGCTGGCTCTGGAGACACTCAGGCCTGGGTTCAAAACCCAGCTCTGCCTGTTCCTTAAGTGGCCGGTGCCTCAGTTTCCTCTTCTGGAAACTGAAGGATATAAATGCTACTGACCCCAAGAGGCTGGGGTGAGAATTCAGTGAGATAAGGTTTAGTCCTAAGCCCGGGGCCTGGCACTGGTCAGGTGCTCCATAGACATTGGCCATCTCTGCTGTGAGCTCTTCTAGACACTCAGTGGTTCTCCCAGGAGAAGAAACGCCCGTCCTCCCTCAAGGCTTTGAGATGGGAGATGTCCTAGGCCGCGCTGTCAGGTGACGGTGAATCGGCAGGAAGGAAGGGTTCGGCCCTGTGCAGAGGCTTCCCCAGTCCCTTCCCGGAACCTCAGCTTCACTTTGAATCCAGTCCAGGAAAAACCTCTCTGGATTCCATCCAGAGTGGTGTCACTAGGCGGGTCTTAGCTGTCTTAGCAGCTACACGCGGTCTCTGGAATCAGCTGGGCTTTGCTGCCTGGGCTTAGGTGATGCACTCACCTCGCCAAGCCTCCATTTGTTCGTCTAGAAAATGCGGACCGTCACGTTTTTCTAATTTCCAATCATTCTGAGTTAGGGTTGCCAGGTAATACAGGACCACACAGTTAACTGGAATTTCAGATGAGTCATTTTTTCAGCATAAGTATGTCCCAAGTGTTGCATGGGATATACTTATACTAAAAAACTAATCCCTGCTTCTCAGGTTTAACTGGGTGTCCTGCATCGCAGCTGCTAAATCTGGCAGTCCTAGTGGGGTGAAGTGGGGGAGCATCTTCTGGAACTCCTGCCTGGCTGTGTCCCAAACCATGTCCTGTACCTGCCCCTGCGCCTTCGACTTCTGAAATTTAAATTTAATGGGGGGGGGTGGTTCCTGCCTTTTTTCTCCCCTAAATGTGGCAAACGCTAAAGATTAAATGTAGTAAGGCACTTAACACAACGCCTGGCACATAAGCAAGTTCTCAATTGATGGAGGTTGTTGTTATTGATATTACTATCAGGTCCTTGATCACATCAGAGAGGTAAACACTGGCAAAGAACGTGACTTTGAAGTGCACCAGAATCCAGTTCAAACGTCAGCAGTGCCACGATGACGCTATGTAACTTTGGGGAAGTTAGTAACACCTCCTTGCCTCAGTTTCCTCATCTGTAAAATAGGGGCAGTAATAGTGGCTAGACCACCGACGGCATTACTGCTTGATTTCAATATAAATAGAAGTTTTTACTGTTCTCATCCCCTCCCCCCCCCCGCCTTCATTATCACCACCACCATCACTGCTGTATCACCACCAACACCACCACCCGCTCGGCGATTCTGCTCCAGTCACTGGGGACTGGATGCTTCAAGACCTCAGGAGGCTCTTTGAGACCAGCCACCTGGAGAAGGTCATCGCTCCTCTCGACCCTGGGCTCTTCTGACCAGTTCTGGAAACACTGGGTCCCCCAAGCCACCTCCCACCCACACCCCAAGTCTAGGAGAGTAATGCTCGTGTGGGGGTTTGTGTTGGACGGGGAGTTTGACGGAGCAAAGACAACGGCTATAACAGAGCTGCTCTGGCTGGTGTGGCAGCCCACGTGGCTGCTGAACTGCGGGGAGTCCAAGTCAAATTGTGCTGTACGTGTAAAATACACACCAGATTTCAAAGATGTAGTATGAAGATATGAAATATCACATTACTTATTTTCTATATAGATGGCCGCTGAAATGATATTTTGGATATAATGGGTTAAGTAGAATATGTTATTAAAATGAATTTCATCTCCTTTTTTACGTCTCATCTGCTTGTCAGAACGTTAAAATTACTCATGTGGCTTGCAATAAATCCCGCTGGACAGCCCGCTACCGAGTGGTGGTAGGTAGAAGGCAGCACAGCGGGGATAACTGGCACATCAGTATGGGGGGTGGGCGCTTGGGAGGCTTCTCAAAGGAGGAATGTCTGAACTTGATGTCAAAAGATAACTGGGAGTTCAGGAACGGGCACTGAGATTGGGATGGAGGGATGGGAAGGCACAGCACGGAGAGAGGGCACAGCATGTGCAAAGGCCAGGAGGCCAGAAATAGCGCAGCCCAGGCACAAAGGCCAGAACACCAAGAGCAATGCCATGCTGAAGACCGCAAAGCTTGTCCTGGGGTTGTGGGGACCCGTGGGCTGGGGGAGGTCTCTGGGATGTGGGGCCGGGTGGGGGTACCTGGAGGTCCAGCAGCCCCGTGAGCAGGACCTTCCCGGCGTGCGCTGCGTTATTCAGCAGGTCTTCCCGCTTGATGACGTCGATGACCTCAGCCAGCAGCAGGTTCTTGGACGGGTCCCCCAGCCACGTGTTGAAGATCCGGTAGGGCTGGAGCGAGGAAGGGTGTCGGGAGGTTCACACACAGGCACATCCTGAAGGTGCCACGTCCCTCAGACGCGCCTTCTCCTCTTGACGAGGAGAGAAACTGACCCAAAGAGCATCCCCCAGGGCTGGGAGGAGAACACGTCTTATCTCACTGAATTCTTCCAGCAACACAGCCCTGTAGGTAGCTACTGCTATCAGGGAGACCAAATTGTCCCGTGCTCTGGGACATCCCTCAGTCCCAGAAGCCAGACAGCTGGTCCTTTAACTACGACACTCCCCGTTTTACACAGGAGGAAGGTGAGTGATCTGCCCAGGGCAAATATGGCTCTTAGGTGGTAGAGTTGGGACTGGATCTCTGGCTCTCTGAAACAATGATCACCCACTTTACAGCTCCACGAATTACTCAGGATGGCAATGCAGCCAACTAAAACACACTGCCTGGCCTCCCTCATGGTAAGGGAGTAGCCATGTGATAAGCGCTTAGTCAAGTGTTGGAAATAGAAGTGTTATGTGAGATTTGTGGGAAGGCTGCTAAAGACAAGAAGGGGGCCACTTTGTCCTTCCCTTTTATAGGAAAAGGAATCCTACTGGCTAGAATTGAGGTGTGATGGCTGGAGCTCCAGTAGCCATTTTGGACCATGAGGCCACCTTGAGGGTAGAAACTACTGGTGGGAAAAAGGCCCTTGGGCCCTGATGGCTGTATGTGTGTGTGTGTGTGTGTGTGTGTGTGTGAATCTGTATGTACACACGGCAGTACACACAGTATGTGGTTAAGGGCATGGGCTTGTCTTTGAATCCTGGCTTTGTCCCTTGCAAGCTTTGTGACATTGTACAACTTACTTAACCCCACTGATTCCTCATAGAACCCCAGGCACAAAGCAAAAGCTCAGTCCCTGGCAGCCACTATTAACAATATTATTATGCGTGCACACAGAGAATCAGCAGAAGACTGACAATGAACTGCTCCGGAGTTGGCCTTGCAGAGAGCTGGGGTGATCACCGCGGGCTAATTAAATTGATAAGAACAGGGCCCTAGAAAACCTGCATGACACAGTAGGAGTGCACCCAGCTCCTCGTCTGTGAGAAAGGAGCAGTTATGGAAAAGGAACAAGGCCTCCTCTGCCCTGGACACGGAGAGAAGGCCGGGCCGACTCACAGCGTTGGGCCTGAACTCCTCCTTGTGGAAGAAGCCGCCGGTCATCATCTTCTTGCTGAAGGTCATCACGTCTGCTGGGTCGTCCAAGCCCCAGTGCTCATGGGCCCAGAACTTGCCGGTACAGCCCCCTCCAGTCTGGACCTCATCCACCAAGAAGGCACAGCCATGCTGCGGACGGAGAGAGGGGAGAAATCAACGCCCGCAGGAGGCCGGCGGAACAACCCCCGCCCCCGACGCAGCCCACCCACTGCCGAACGCCGGGTCCGGCCACATGGTGCTTGTTTTCTGAACTGCAAACCAGGCCCACGTTCTCGGGCTGCGCAAAACGAAACGAACCCTTAAGCGGAGCAGCTCCGCCCAGGGCTGTGTCTGAATGTCTCCTGAAAGTGCTGAGCTGGAACAGAAAGCCCAGAGCATCAAATACTCCCTGCGCTAAACAAGGACTCCAGAACAGAAGCGGAGCTAACCCTTTGCCCTGGGACCCAGCCCAGAACCCCCCATGCTCCTGTCTGCCCTCGGCGGCGCCCGCTGACCTTCCTGGCAATGTCTCTCAGCTTCCTGAAGAAGTCGTCCGACGCGTGGTTGTCTCCGCCCTCAGACTGGATGGGCTCCACGACGATCCCAGCCACCGTCTTTTTCTTCTTCCGGTATTTCACGATCAGATCCTCCACCTAGATTCCCAACGGGGCAGAGACAACTGCTTCCTAAGGCTCTTGACCCATGTCCGTGGGTGGGCATCTGGGGTTCCATGAGCCCCTTGAAGTGTTATTGAAAATGTGGGGTTTTTTTCTTTCTTTCTTTTTTAAAGAGACAGAGTGATCCTCTCACCTCGGCCTCCCAAAGTGCTGGGATTACAAATGTATACATCATTTGAAAAATCCGAAAGCATACACCTAGATAGATTAACGAGTGAAATCTTTCCTTGTTATGCACAGCTAAGGAAAAGCCCTCCGCTCCGATGGTGTGATTTTGGCCTTGGTCTCCACCCATCACCCCAGGGAAGCTCCAAGGCACTTTTCTTCACTTTCAGAACATCATTTGCACTTTGAGGACTTTTACTTTTTAAAAAACCTGATTTCGGCCAGGCACGGTGGCTCACGCCTGTAATCCTAGCACTCTGGGAGGCCGAGGCGGGTGGATCACTCAAGATCAGGAGTTCGAGACCAGCCTGAGCAAGAGCGAGACCCCGTCTCTACCCAAAAATAGAAAGAAATAATCTGGACAACTAAAAATATATATATATAGAAAAAAATTAGCCGGGCATGGTGGCACATGCCTGTAGTCCCAGCTACTCGGGAGGCTGAGGCAGAAGGATCGCTTGAGCCCAGGAGTTTGAGGTTGCTGTGAGCTAGGCTGACGCCACGGCACTCACTCTAGCCCGGGCAAAAGAGTGAGACTGTGTCTCAAAAAAAAAAAGATTTCTAGAAAAGCCGTGATTACATCCCTGTCATGTATTATATTCCTACCAGATAGTGACATACGTGACACCATGATCTTTTTTCTTTTGTTTGCTACTGAATACCCAGCACCTAGCACCTTGCTTGACACCTAGTAGGTGCTCAGTAAACATTAATTCGTTGAAAGTGATGATGAGCTTAAGAGGAAAACCAGCAGCCTTACTGCAGCTCCAATCCAAACCCTTTTTTTCCCCAGCAACAGAATCTTTCTAACATCTTTCCTGGAACCCCAATACATGGAACAGACCAAAGGGGGGCTGTTCGGTTGAAGAGGAAGCCTGGGGTGACAGAGGGCTGCATGTCCTCAGTTTCTCCTAACACGACACCCAAGGCAACCCAATGAAGCCTTAGGACTTGGGACAGGACCAAACCAGTGTGCCAGAGGATCCCATGGAACCACTTGTTCCTATGAGACACCCCACATTCTTTCACCAAATCTATTTTCTCTTATTTTAGAGTTATTGAAGCTGGCCCCCAAAGGAACCTAAATGATACAGAAATTGGTACCCAAAGTGGGTACCAAGTGGGGTGACGGATGCTGGGTGAGAAACAACGTGTCTTACTGCCTTTCCCAATACGGCCAATATTTGGGACCCTTGTCTCCCTGTCCCCACTTCCCTCCCAGGGAACACCACACAGGTCCCCAGGTAAACCCGTCATCTGTTCCTCTTCTCCTGGGCTAAATCTTGGGGTGGCAAGGGTAAGGTGCTGGTGCGTGGGGAGGATCTGCAAGATCCAGGGGTTACCTCTTCTAGACAGCGGGCTTCTTCTTGTTGGTTTTCTTTCACAAACTCTTCCAGAGGATATTTCAGCCGTGGGAATGGTGCGATGGGCCAGTCGAAGGAAGGGATGTCGATCTTGTGAATGGCTTTGGAGTGCGTGGTCGCTAGGCAACCTGAGTCCGGCAAAACAAAAAGCAGATGCTTGGCTTGGGGAGGTGGGCTGAACAGTCTTTGAAAAGGAGAGGATAGGCATTTCAGCAAGGCTTTCAATGCCTGGGGAGGCCGGTTGCCCGCAGAACCCAAGGTCTTGTAACACCCTGAAGCTGAAGGGGAACCTGTGAACCCTTAATGTTCATGCGTGCATGCGTGTGTGTGTGTGTGCGTGTGTGTGTGCGTGTTTGCCTTGTGATTTACCACAGATTAAGCACAGGTTTTGAAGGTAGAGAGTCAAGAGTTCAAATCCTGGCTCTGTCACTGAATGGCCTTAGAAAGTTCTTTCCCTTCCTAAGCTTTGATTTCCACATCTGCAAAATAGGGATAATAATCCACACTTTTCAGGGAATTGTGTGGAACCAATGAGATGATATGTCTAGACTGCCAACGCCACAGGGAAGGCAGCTGTGGCTACCGTCGCTGTTACTGCCGTGCCGCGGGCCCCTCCTTACCCATGGTTCTCCCGTGGAACGCGCCCATGAAGGAGAGGATGCTGTACTCGGGGCACCCGGGGGCCTAGAACCAAGAAATACCGGTCATCAGTCACCCTCGTAAGGACGGCGGAGCTGTATCGTTGACCCCGCAAACCTCGGGGAACAGAGACGTCTACCAGAAGGACTGGGAGCCCTTCTCAGATAGATGTTATCAGCTGGACCCCTGGGGTCTATATTCAGCACACAGATGTTTTATTTTACCCACACACTTAAAATTTTTTAAAAAAAATCTATTGCCAAATTTAAAATCAAGAGATTTCACATAAATGTCTGAAATTCCAGCTTCTCACAAGTTCTGCGCCATTTGGGCTCATTTTTCTCCTGTGGCAGCAGCAGGTGGCCAAGCAGCACTCCCTGCCGCCTCTCTCCTTTCCGTCCCTGCCGGGCCGGCTGGGGGTTTCGGAGTTGCAACCCCTGCTCTACAGGCTCTTCGAGCTCCTGCCCAGCCTCTGGCTCCACTGCTCTGGCTTCCACAGGTCTCAGGTGGGCAAGGTGCTAATGAGGGATACCTGCCTCCCAGGGTGACCTAAGACAGGGGCTGAGCTGGGCGGGCCCTTCACAGGAAGTGGTCCTGGCCTTTGCAGGAGGTCTGCTCTGTCGCAGAGGGTGGCAGGGGAGACCCCCACCCCCTTGAGTGCAGGCGGGTGCATGTCCCAATCCCTTCCCGGCCCCAAGCAGATGGCCCAGCTCACACCCTGGTGCACGCATTCTTGCTGATACTCTGGATTATTCCAGACCCGTCGAATCCAGGCAGTCATCCTGGGAAACCATGGAAAGCCCACCAGGGAGCGCTCCACTCAGCCTCGACACCCAGGAAACAGACTCCCAAGTGGAAACAGGTGGGGACCCCTCCTGATTGAGAGGGACAGCGCCAGCCCCCCAAACACACGTGATGGAAGCCCAGCTGCACTCACCTGGTTAATCATGCAGGTCTCCAGCTCCTCTTTGGAGAAGCCCCTCTGCCCCCTTTCCTTGCTCTGACAGAACAGAACAGAACAGAACAAAACATCAGAGGCTCTGAGGTGGACAGGGCTTCGACTTCCCACCCAAACCAATATTGAGTCTGGACAGCGAGAAAGTCCTTTCTCAGGAGTCGGTCTCATGTACTGATCGTTACACGTCTGTATTGAGGCATGAGACTGTTAATGGTGCTTGCAACGAAATAAATAGTTGAATACTCAGGATGCATTAGTATTCTATCGCCAACAACTCAGATCTGTTAAGGTGGCTTATGTTATGCCAGGAAAAGTAGAGTAATAGTAACACTGTGTAGGTCTGATGGCAAAGCCTTGGGCCTCCCTGGATTTTAACAGTGGTCACCGAAGTCTGATACTCCAGCCAGTCAGGATAAACAGTAGGACAAGGGCTGAGTGGGGCTGGGTACACATGTGAGTGCGTGCGTGTGTGCGTGTGTGCGTGTGTGTGTGTGTGTGTGTGTTTTCATGCCCCAAACCTCACCCGGTACCACATGAAGATGGTCTTGAATGCATTTTCATTGGAGCAGGAGCCGCAGGCCATGGTGATGAGCTGGGACATCCCCTTGGGAGCCACCTGCAGTAAGGGAAACAGCTGTGAGACCAGGCTCATCCGGACTCCGGCTTCCCAGGGCTGGGGCTGTATCTCCTTGAGGAGGGGCATGCCCTGGGCCCTGGAGCCGGGGGGAGGCAGAGGGAGGGCGGGAGGGAGCCAGGGATGTCCTGGAAGCATGGGAGGGGGAGGATGGACTCAGGCTTTTCCAGGGGCTGAGACGCCTAGGAAGGCCCAGCCCCTGAGGCTGGCAGAGAGAAAAGCGGGGTGAAAAAGCCCCATCTGTCCCTTATGACACAATGACTGCTCCCTAGGACACCCACATCCCCAAGGTGGGAAGCTGAGGTTCCCGAAGACTTTCATCTTTGCAACAACCAAAATCGAGAAGCAGGGCAAAGACTGAATAACATGTGCAAAGCTCCTTCGTGGGACACATGAATTTCCTGAGTTCCCTTTGTCCTGTACACAAAGAATTCCTCATTTTCTACATAAGGAAAACTAAAAATACCCTCCATGAAAGAATAAGCTCAAAGAGCTCGATTTCTGCAGCAGCACCCTATCCGTCATTGTCATGGCTCTGGGGCCTCTGCTTTCCCAGCTGGTGGCACCGCCTCTGAGGACAGCGGGGCTGCCACGGCGGCTGGGTCGTCCCCCTGGAACTCACCGAGAGCAAGGACGACCGGAGCTTCTCCACAAAGTTCTCCGGAGGCAGGATGCCGAGAGCAGGTCTGTTGATGAATGTGCTCTGCAAAAGGCCAAGAGACAAGCGGTGACTTCTCCGCCTGACCCAGCTCCCGCCCACGGACGATGCTTTGCACAGACCCTGCGTTCCAACAGGCGCTGCGTGGCGCGCAGGCGGAGGGCGTTCTCCCGGTGTGGGGAACGACAGGTTTCCCTGAAATTTTAGAGAAATCCACTACGATTGCTCTGGATTTTTTAAAAAGTGTCAATTTCCTGGTTGTGATATCCCATTATAGTTACAAAAGACGCTACCAATTGGGGGAAACTGAGTGAAGGGTACATGGGACCTCTTTATGCTATTTTTTGTAACTTCTTGTGAATCTATAATTTTTCTTTAAAAAACCATCAGAATGGCTATAAAAACCAAAAAATGTACACTAGCAGGTACCATTGAGGATGTAGAGCAATGAGAACTCTCATTCATGGCTGGTGAGAAGGCAAAATGGTGCAGCCCCTTTGGCAAGCAGCCTGGAAGTTCCTCACAGTGTGGAACATCCCCTTTCCTCTGACCCAGCAATCCACTGCCGGCGTTGGCCCGGGTGGAATGGAAGCGCGTGTCCACGCAAAGATGCGTACGTGAATGTTTACAGTGGCTTTTGTTCTCATTTGCCCAAAACTGGAAACAGCCCCAAATGTCCCTGCACTGGGGAAAGGAGAGACAAACCGCGGTTCATGCACACGATGGAACGCGACTCGGCGACAAAAAGGAGCCATCCACTTATACGCGCACACACACACACACACACACACACACACAGACACACACGCACACACACACACACACACACACACACAGACAGCGCGGAAGAATCCGAGTCACGACGCTGAGTGACAGAAGCCGGAATCAAAGGGTTATATGCGGTAGGGTTCCATTTCTGTGACGTTCTGGAAAAGGCAGTACTATTGGGACAGGAAACAGCTCGTGCTTGCCAGGGGCTGGAGTCAGATTGACTAAAAGAGGCCTGGGGGACTATTTGGAGTGATAAATCCATTCTATCTGGGCTTTAAAAAAATTCATAATAAAAAACACATAAAATAAAACTTGCCGCCTTAACCATTTCTAAGTGTTCGTTTCAGTAGTGGTAAGAACACCCCATTGCTGTGCAACCATCACCACCGCCCACCTCTAGAACCTTCTCCTCGTCCTGAACTGAAGCTCTGCCCCCATTAAACACCAGCTTCCATCTTCACCCCCAGCCCCCGGCAGCCCTCATTCTGCTTTCTGTCTCTGTGTGTTCAACTATTCCACATCCCGTATAAAAGTGCAGTCATCTAGCATTTGTCTTTTTGTGACAGGCTTATTTCCCTTAGCACAATGTCCTCAGTGTTCATCCACGTAGTGGTGTACGTCAGAATTTCCTTTCTCCTTAAGGCTAAGTAATGTTCCACCGTGTGGATAGACCACGCCTTGTACAGCCACCCACTGCCCAGGGACAGGTGGGTTGCTGCCACCTGTTGGCCACTGTGAGTAACGCTACTGTGAACACGGGTGTGCAAACGTGTCTGGATTTTGACAGCGATTACGCGGCTATGCATTTGCTGAAACCTACAGAACTATACACTAAAAAAGGTGGATTTTGCTGCATGTAAACTGCACCTTAATTTTTTTTAAGAAATAAAGAAGAAGAAAGGCATGAGGAGACGGTGACAGTTCTGGAATTTCTAAATAGACCGTGGGCCTGAGCGGGGTGGCTGGTTAAATTCCCAGAGTAGACTGAGTGTGGAAAAAGCCGTGTTAGAAAATTACAAGATTCTCCCTGTCGATGTTCTTTCACGCAGATCCAGAGAAATCACTTCCTCCGCAAGGAAATCAGGAGTGGGAGCTGGATCCTAAATGGCCGCTCCTGCCGGTGCCCAGGGAGCGGGGCTGCCTGGTGGTGACGGACACGAAGTTGCCTGTCCCAGCCTGGGCCAGCCCCGCTCTGTGGCTGCCGGGCAGCAACTCGGGCCAAGGGAGCCTGCGCCTCCAAATTTCAAAAGAAAAGAGGAATGTGGATTTCAATGTGCATTAACTATAAAATGCTGGCCGAAATACCTTAAAACAGCCTCTGGCCTAGGGACAGTCCCACACTCCTGTAGCTGCGTTCTTGGAGAAAACCATCCCCGTGCTGCCTCTAAAACACAGGCATGGCTGCTAGCTGCCCACAGAGCAGGGCAGGCGTCCCGAACCTCCCGACAGGCTTGCTGCCGTGTCCTCGAACACCTTCCTCAAAGCGAAGCCAGACAAGGAAAACAAACCATAAAAATCTAATCCAGGAAGGACACCTACCGTGGTAGAAGTTTCAACTATGCTGCTTGTTACTGTATCTTAAAAGCCTCACCGTATTTCATACTCTGATCTGGCTGTCTCATCTCCTGACTTCCTCTAAAGAAAGGACTTCAAGTGTGGACGAAGGCTAGGAATTTAATTTTGTAGCAGTCTTTACAACAACAAAAAGGAGAAACACTCTCAGTGCCCAATATTCGGTTAAGTGAAGTAAGGAACGTTAACTCAAGGTAATGTTATACGACTACTAAAATGGATTTTTAAAAAGTTGCAATCACATGGAAAGGCTTAGATTACAGTGGATTTTTTTTCTTCTTTTTATAAGAAACTAGTCAGGAAGGTTTGTACTCCCCGCCCTCCGTACACTCTTTAACTTATTTACTGAGCGCTATTATACAAACCGCGGCACTGTATTTCCGGACAGTAAAGTCATTCATTCACACTGGAGTCACGTGCACTGCACAACGACATCTCGGTCGAGCACGGACTACACATATGATGGTCCCATAAGATTATAATGATGGTCGCATAACAAAATCCCCCACCGGGGAACGGATCCCTGACGTTAAGCAACACACAACTGTATTTCATTCCAGAGACCATTTAGGGGAGTGCAAAAGTGCTAGATTAGGAATTCAAACTATTAAGGCTAAGTCACTTAAGGAGCCTCAAGTATTTAGTCTTTAAAAGAAGTGATGCTGCCACTGCACCTCTAGCCCAGGTGTCCCTCTCTCAAAAAAAACAACAAAAAAAAAGGAGAATAACACCGCCTGCCCTTCCTAGCTCACAGGGGTGCCGCCAGCCTCCTGGTCCCACAGAAGGATGAGGTGCGCCCAGAGAGGGTGGAGCCGTGAGCCCAGGAAGCCAGCATGGGAAAGAAAGCCCTGGTACGTCTTGGGCACTGACTACATGGCAGGCATTGGGCAGGAACTTTACTTATCCTTATGACCTTGTCACCCTTTACCAATCAGAAGAACAAGTTGTTGTACTAGAGGAGAGAGATGCAATAGATTTAGTGGCAAAATGTATCAAGCCAGTGAATTCAGAAAAGTTTAGCTCTGCAAGAGACAGAGGTGGAAGCTGAGGGGGTTACTCTTGGGACTCCAGGAGGGAGGCGAGCCAGGGGCACAGCTGGGGACCGCCCAGGAGCCCCAGGCCCTGCTGAGACTGGCCCCCCAGAGTCTTGGTGATGAGAGGTCCCTTTCATGCTAATAAGAGACCCGAGCTAGTGGGCTAAGAGCACAGCAGTCCCTGGAGGTCCAGCCAGCGACCCCTGGTGGCATTTGGGAAGAGGCTGGGAGGGGTCTGGGATGGGGATAAGCAACGGGCTCACGAGGAAGTGGATTTGTGTTACTAAAAGGGATTGTACTCAATGCAACGCGGCATCCTGGATCAGATCCCGGAACAACAAATGACATTAGCGGGAAAACTGGTGAAATCCAAATAAAGCCTGCAGTGTGCCATGCCGCAACATTAGTCTGCACAGATTGCTTCGACAGACGTACCTGGTGAGGTGAGATGCTGACATAGGGGACAGCCGGCGAAAGGTAGATGTGAACTCTCTTTACAGCTCGTCTGTACATCCACAACTCGCCTAAATAACAACCTAGTCATAAAAGGGGGGAGCATAGTACTGGGATTTGGGGATATCTCGGGTACCTCTCTCTTGGACATAATCAATGTATTGATAATACACTCAGTGCAAATCCAGACAGTGACATCACTGCATGGGGGAAACCTAAGGACAGACAGGACCCAGACATCATTCTCCTTGTGGCTTGAGGACTTGGTTAGGACTGCTAGAAATTGTGGCAAATTCATATCTGGTACTTTTTCTGCTTAGTGACCACCCAGGTGGGTCTAGGATAAGTAGTGGGGGAAGTTAACCCTCCTTTTTGTAGAGCTGGGGAAACTTGAGGACCAGAGATGTCAACTTGCCCCAAATCACACAGCCAGGAAGGAGCAGAACGACAACTCAGACCAAGGCTTACTGGCTTCTCTGTCAGACACTCCAGGCAGCCTCTGCCTGACAATTTAATGCTTGGCACAACCTGGAGACCTTGGCTCGCCTGTGGGGGTCTTTAGGGAGCATTTCCTTCTGCCTCCGAGCTGCTAGTGGGGCCCCTACGAAATCAGGCACATCACGAGAATGCGGCAGAAGCAAGCTGCCATCAGTGGCAGCAGGGAAGTGGCTCCCAGAGGGGGACCGGCGGGCTGGCTGGCAGCTTGACTGCCTATCTGGGCCCAGGAAAGATGTGGGGGTGGTGCTCTTGCTCGACAAAGCGTGACATTAAGAACAGAAGATATCTGGGACATGGGGTAGTGGAATTAAATGAGGACAGGTTTCTAGAATCCTTGCCATCAGCTCGGCAGTCTTAGAGTCCAGTGTGAAGCTTTGGTTTAAATGGCTGTGCAACCTTGGGCAAGTCACTTAACCTCTCTGAGCTTTGGGGTCTTCATCTGCCAGGTGCATGTAAGGAGCCAGGGAGACGACAAGGCATACAGAGGATGCAGGAGCTGGAAAGGCCCAGATCACGGGATGGCACGTGTCTTACCTGGCCAGGCCTGCTGTGTTACGAGCACTCATTGGTAAATGCAGTGCCCAGTAATTATTGCATGGCTTCGGGGCAATGTAATGAGATGGCCATGGTGACATAAGGAATCCTAACTGGAACCCATATATTAGCTCCTGAGGACATGGTCTCATTGCTTGCAGTCACAGGAAGTAATTATGTTGGGGTTTCAGGCTGGTGCAAAAGGGTTGAAGCCACCTCTCAGGAGTTGGGTGGCCTGGAGGAACCTGCCCTGGACAGGTAAAATACCAGAACCACCACCTGAGCGCCTGTCCAGCCGAGGATGTGGAAGACCCAAGACTCCGGTAAACGGCCCCCTAGCCTGCTGCCCCAGGTGCAGCCTACTGAAAAGCTCCCTCTAGCCTGTGGCAGTCAGTTGCCACTTCTCTAAGACTGTGTCAGGGAGCCCCTTTCGCCAGGCCCCCAACCCAAGTCCTCTGCAGAAGAACTCAGCGTAGATGGGGATGGAATATGGACTCCCCGTCAAACCCCAGCACCGAGAGCTGCGCCTGCGTGTGGTAGGCACGCAGCCATTAACCGGTGAGGGAACAAAGGTCAAGAAATAAGGCTGAAGAAGAAAGAAGGTGCCGGATCACCAGGGCTTTGCACGTGAAGTGGAGGCGTTTTGGATGCACCCTGAAGGCAGCCGTGCGGGGAAGGGCTGGCGTGGCTGTGGCTCGGTGTGGAGGAAGGTGTGGAGGAGGTGAGAGCTGAGGTGGGAGGGAGGGATGGAGAGAGGCTCAGCAAGAACCCAGCGGGAGATGTGAGGGTAGGACCAGCCCCTGATTGGCTGAGAGGTGAAAGGTGAGGTGGGCGGGTTTCCTGGTCGGGACAGGGTGGAGCCATCCCCTGAAATCAGAATCCCCGGGCCTGACGTCACGTGCTGTTGGGGACGATTCTGCCTCTGGAGGCGGTTGACACTGCAAATGTGTCTGACATGTTTGTTGACACATTTTTTTTCAGCACCAACTGCCAAAGCGTCTGGGTTCTGCACAACGTTTGGAAACAAAGCCGAGCTTTGAGTGTAAACATATCCGCGCAGGCTCCGGCCGCAGAGGGGCCCCGTCAGATGTCTTCAGGAGGACGCTGGTTTCCTCGGCAGCAGCCCCTGAACCTGTCCGCTAGTTGGAGACAAGAATGTCCCCAAGCCCCTCCCGGGCAGGGCACTCCCATTTACAAAGAGGGAAATTTGTTTTTTTCCTATTATCTTCAACTCTGTTGGTAAAACAGGAGGAAAGTTTTAAGGCTAGGGCTTCAGTCTCTGGCCAGGATTGGGCTTTGCTTCCTTCTGCCTTTCCTAGAATTCTTTTATAAGTCACACTCTGAGCCAGTGGAAATGCCCCAGTGACACTCGGGGTCGGTGAGGGTGTGGAGCACCCGGAACTCTCACACAGCTGGCGGGAGTGGAAATCAGCACAACCCATTCGGAAAACGGTCTGGCAGCATCTGCTGGGGCTGAAAGTGCACACACCGTGGCCGGCAATTCCACGCCTAGCTTTGTATCCAACGAAAGAACATAAATGTGTTCACCAAAGACACACTCACGGGTTCACAGCAGCCGTGTTCACGAGAGCCCCACACCGGGAACTGCCCGCACGCTCATCGACAGCAGAATGGATCGGATGGGTGCAGCCTATTCGCACAGTGGAATACTCTGAAGCCACGAGACTAGCTGATCTGCGGCTACACACAGTAAGGATGAATCACACAGACACGATTTTGAGTTAAATAAGCCAAACAATATAAAGAGTACACACCTCAGAATTCCACTTTTGTGGCCACAAACAACAGAGGAAATGCATCTATCTGTTTTCTAACAGGGGAGCGTGGTCTGCCTGATTTGGTTGGGGGAAACAGCTGCATGGGGACGTGATCTGAGTCCCTGCTACAATTCCTGCATTCTCATCGGGGGCAAAAACACCTTACCCTGGTAATGTACAAAGCACCGACTTCAGTACAGGACAACAGCACACCTGTGTGCTGTGGCTGCAATTACAGACCCCAAGAAGGTGCTACACCCTCATTCCATCCCTGGGACTGTGAATATGTCAGATGGCAAAAGGGACTTTGCCGATGTATAATAATTAAGGCTCCTAATCGGTTGAGACAGGGCGATTGTTCTGCACTCTCAGTGCAACCATGGGAGCCCTTAGTAGCAGACATAGAAGAGGAAGACAGAGAAGGACTCAGCCATTAGCTTGAAGATGGAGGGGCCATGTGGAAACAGAATGAACTGAATTTGCCAACAACCTAAATGTGTCCAAAGCAGATTCCCCCCCTGACCCTTCACCTGAGAGCCCAGGTTGGTCAGCTCCAAGATTTCAGCTTTGAGGGGCCTTAAGCAGAGTACTCAACTGGGCCCACCAGGCTCCCAGCCCACAAAAACTGCGAGACATTACGTGGGTGTTGTTCTAAACCATTAAGTTGTGGTCATTTGCCGTGGTAGCAACAGAAAACTAATAAGGTGGTATTAAAATCTCATGACGGGGAACAGTTAGGAAAATAATGCCATCCCCAGCTTCTTAAGGGGACAATAATGAAAAAAAATTTGAGAAACACCAGGTTACATGGGAAAACTCATTGAGTGTTGCCTTCAGGCTGTACGCACATGTGTGTGCACGCTACACTTCAGCGTAACTGCGCGACAGCTTTCCAACACGCTCGGGATAGGGACTGCAGTCTTCTACCAAAAGGGTTCTCAGCTGGGGTGAATGTGCCCACCAGGGGACATTTGCCCTTGTCTGTAGATAATTTTGGTTGTCACCACAGAGGAAGAGGGTGTTACTGGCGTCTAGTGGGTGAAAGATGCAGCTAAATGTCCTACAACACACAGGACAGGCCTTTGCAGTAAGGAATTATCTGGCCCCAAATGTCAAAAGTACCCAGGTTGAGAACCGTAGTCTAGCGGGCATCTAAATACCATGTCCCTCGCTAAGCACACAGGAGGATGAAACAAAACAAGACAGAAAAACAAACAAAGAGCCATGTCCCTTTGCTGCTACTCCAGTCCTCCTCAGATCCCTCCCTGCTCTCTGCTCCTGCCAGATGCTGCCCTCCTGGCTGCCCTGTTCTCCTGGCTGGGACCACTCCTGGCTCATCACCTGTTAGACCTTCCCCTCCTTCAGCTCTCAGCTCAAACGTCACTTCCCTTGGAAGTCCTCCTCATCCTCCTTCCCCCAATAGCTCAGCTCCTGTGGGTTCATTCCCAGCACTTCCACTGGCTGTGTGGCCCTGGGCAAATACTGAGCCTCTCTGAGCCCCAGTTTCTGCATCTGCAAAATGGGAATATCAAAAGTGACTGCTTGGGGACTTGTCAACATTACAGCTGTAAAGTGCCAAACACAGTGTTGGGTACATATTATACTCTTCTTAAACGCTAACCATTATTACCATCATTATTTTATGCCCACACAGCAGTGCCTGCCTTATCTGCAGCATTCGATATGGTTGCCATGCTCTATTTATGTGTGTGGTTAATCGACTGCCTCCATGGGGATGGGGACACTGTGTTTTCACACACAAAGTGTCTGTCACATAGTATGGTCTCAATAAATACTTATGGAATGAAAGAATAAATGAGTGGACTGTTTCCAAAGGTCACCCAAGAGTTTCTGTGAATGGCTGTGAAGACATCTGGTCTTTAGCCTGAGTAACCCGGAGACCTACCACATTCTGAGGCTGTTGGATGAGCTTCACCAGGGCAGGGTGGCTGTAACCTGGGGAGAGGAGGGAAGAGATCAGCATCACATCCGGGGGTACCCACGCCCCAGCCCTGCCCCCCTTTCTTCCCAACCCTGCAACTCTCTTCACTTGGCAAAGGATCTTTTATCCTTTGCAGACAAAGAGGCCACCCAAGGCCCCTGACTCAGAGTCTCTCCAGGAGCAGCCCAGAAGCCTTCAAATTCTCTAGGACATTCTGATGCTTGCTCGGGTTTGAGAGCTACTGGATTAGATACACATAGAGGAGGTAAATGCAGGTCAAAGCAATGTCATGACTAGGGCTGGGGCGTGAATCAGTGAGATAGCATGAAGAGTTGCAATGACAGTCCTTGACTTCTGCTCCAGAGCTCACTGGCTGAGCTGGGTCTCAATAAATGTTTGCTCAGGGACTGAGTGAGTGGGTGATGCCACCTGTGACCTGTGGCCAGCATGCCTCATGCTGCCCTTGCCTATTCCCCGAGGCCCTCTGCATTCACTGTCTGGGCCAGGGCTGACCTTGCATGATAAGGCTTAGGACACGCTTTGATTCAGCAGTTGCTCTCCTACCAATTTATCTCACAAATGTGTGAAAAGACCTATGTACATGAGTCTTAATTAGGACACCCTAATATGTCAAGACTTGAAAGCAATGCAACGTCCATCAGTAGCGGGTCCAAGGAAATAAACTAAGATTAATCCGCATGATGAAAGCCTTCTAATGTGACTGTACAGCTGTAGAACAGGATGAGACAGATTTATTTGTGCAGAGTTAGAATAATCTCTGATATCTGCTAAGTAAAAAGGGGGACATGGGAGATATATATATATTTGTGTATGCACAGAATGTCTCTAGAAGAAACCGGTAAGGATGGTTGCTTCTGGGAGGAAAACTGGGACATGGCTCAGGCTTGGAAATGACACTGGTTCCCCCCACCACATGAAACTTTTTAAAAATTTTCTTTAAAAAAGCTAATTTATAAGGCTTATTCTGTAGTCCTAGTAGATTTGAGCAAGATTGTTTTCATCTTGCAGGGCCTTTTTTGAAGACATGCTCTATAATTATATCACATGTTGTCTTCCTGAACAAGAACTCAAAAATGTTGCCTATGAGAAAATCAGGAATCTTGGAGTAGGAAGTCAACTTTAGAGAAAAACTCCCAGTCTCTCAGTATCACATTTTTATCGTACACACCTTGTACCTAGTTTCTATAAATATATTTACTTTGATAGAGACTTTGTATCACTGGGGTCAGAGGCTGAATGCAGTGGGAACAATCTTTATGTTGCTGGCACAAGGCTCTGATCCTGGGGCCCGACCTGCTGCCACAGAAAGAGATTAGCGAGTTTAGACAGGTATTAAAGACCCAGCACTGGCTGGGTGTGGTGGTGCA